CCCGTTGATGCCCCCACCCCTGCCATTCGATACGGGGTCTCCCCAGCAGACCTCCCCTCTGTCACCTGCAGCTTCCGCAGCATTTCCTCGCGCTCCCCCTCCGCCTCCCACTGGCCACTCTTCTGCCTCTTCAGCTGCTGAATTTCCTGAATCACAGAAAGGAAAAGAATCACTGCCCGGGCCAGCCCCATGCTCCCCGGCCACCGCGCGGTCACAGGCCATGCGAAGCCAGGAGACCGGTGCCACACTGTGCTTCGCTAACACCCCACCACAGGAGATACACATACGCAGCCCCCTCAATCCTCCCCTGGCTCCAGACCCTCCCCCTAGCCTCCTGGCTCAGCCCACGCTGCTCGTCTGACCACCCCCACAGGGCACGTCTACACGGCGGGGGGGAACAGACTCGCACCAGCGGGGCTCCAACTGGCTCACTAGAAATCCCAGTGCGGACGGTGCAGCTGGAGCTGGAGCTGGGGCTGAAGCCTGGGGGCTGGCTGGGAGCGTGAGCTGCTACCCAGCCGCACTGTCCACACCCTAGCCCTGCCAGAGTGAGTCTGTCTCCTGAGGTTGGAGGTGTAGATCCACCCACAGTGTCCTGTTCCAGTGCTCACATCCAGGCCTTGTCCGTGCCGCCCCCGCCTGACCCTGCCTATTGCCCACCCTTTCCTCTGACCCTCACTAGCCCAGGAGTTTTAGGTCTTAACAAAACAAAGAGCAGATTAACGCCCCCCCCACCACCCCCTCTGCTTGCACACCATCTTTTCCTGCTCCCACTGCATCTTAGACCCCTGGGTCATCTCGTCTCCAGGGGCAGGGCCTCCCTGCGCACCCCTCACACTACGGCCTTTCCCCTCTCTCCTCGGCAGGCGTCGGGGGCAGACAGAGCTCTCGCTCCAGACACACACTGAATGATGCGCAGAACAAACTCCCACCCCCACCCCTTGCCAAGAGCATCCCCCGGCGCTGCCACCCACCCGCTTGGCACAGCTAGGGAAGAAGGTGCAAATGAACAAATCCCAGAGACTCTCTTCACATCTCCCCTCCCCCAGCCCCTGTAATTAAAGCTCTGCTTTCAATCATTAACGTACATGCTGTGAAAGCAAGAGGCAATAACTAGGCCAGAGGTTAAACATAGCTGCTGAGGAGAGGGGTGGGCATGTGGGGCAGGCTGTGCCATCTGCAGATGAACCAGCTACACCAGAGGCTGTCATGGGGGGGTAGGCAGGGGCTGTCTGATGCCCTGGCCTGGGATCAGGAATCTTTACATGGGGACCGTCAGGCTTCACACCTATTCAGCCTCAATTATCTTTTGTGAGCAGGTCAGGAGGCCACATGGGGCCCCTCCAGTGCTGACCTGTGACCCTCTTCTCCTTGGGAAACCGCCCTCCCCTACACAGGGGCTTTTCACACCACTCTGCACAGAGGAGGCAGAACATGCTTCGGGAAGCGTCTTGGGGCCCTGGGCCCCCGGCCGACATCTGCTCCCCTGGCTAAGCAGCGAAGTGTAGCCCCAACAGCCGCTACATTCGCTGGAGAGAGCTAGAGCGATGGGCACAAAGCCAACAGGGAGTGGGGAAAACAGCAGGGGTTTGCTACGGGGCAGGAAACCATCGAACGTGATGGAGGCTGGGGCCGTCCCAGTAAGATTTGGCCCAGTGCCACAGAACAAAGCGTTCTCACTCTCCCATCTGGGGGTCATTATCTGAGTACGAACACGGCTCCATGCTCTTCTCCCTGGGCCCGGGACAGAACTCGCTCTAAGAGCGGCGGGAGTGGACCGGGGGGCCCACAGGCCAGGGAGGGGGGGAGAGATAGAGGGTAGCGTTGTGGGGTGTGGCGACAGCAGCCCAGGATGCACTCATATTTTGGGCATGTCCTAGCCACCTCCCTTGGGGCACTGCGGTCGTTCAGCCGCTGCTCCACTGCTGTTACCTCGTCTTTAGCCTTGATCAACAGCTCCAGCTCCTCCAGCGTCTGGTTCAGCTCCTCCTTGCTGCCCTCGCTGGAGGAATCGTGGGCTTTCTGCAGCTCCAGTTCAGCCACCTACATGGATATGCAGGGAGAAGGGAATTGGGTCCCAGTGCTGCGTGCCTGCCGGAGCCAGGCACACAGGCCTGGGGATGCAGCTAAGGGGCTGGCCAGGGGCTTGAGCGCTGAGGCAGGTCGAGACAAACCTTCCAGCTGCTGGGCAAAGTGATTATTCCTGCCCAGGAGCCCCCGGACCCTAGCAGCTTTGTGGCTTCTAACGAGAACATGCCCACCCCACAATCGCAGACTCTGCTCCTTGGAGCCGCCCTAAAGCTCTCCTGGCCGGACTGGGGGGATATTTAAAGAGGAAGGATCTTTCCCACTGTCCCTCTCCGCTCCATGTGTAAACATGGGCTGGGAAAGCGGGGAAACTCCACCCCAGCGCCCACCAGGAACAAGGTATCTGAGGCTTCAGTTCTCCATGACCTGGCCCTTCACTCGCTATCGCTGCTACCAGCCCTTCTCCAGAGCTGGCCCCTGAAATCTACGGGATTTCGGAGTGCCTGTCACCTTGGTATCTAGCCTCTACAGAGCAAAGGCTTCCACAAGCCCCCAACACTACAGCCGCGCAGTAGGGAATATGGTGCGGCAGCCAGGTCAACCGCCCCCCCGCCCCCGTTGGGGAGCTGCACTGGGCGTGGAAGAGTCTCTTGCAGCTCTGCTGTGCTGGGACGTTAGCAAATGGCAGCAGGGACCCAAGGATCAGGAGCACACGACAGTCCCTAACCAGGCAAAACTCAGCCATGAAATCCTCCCCTCCTGCCAGGTAAATCTCCCCCCCCAAGACCCTCTCCCCACAGATACTCATTGCCTCTTCCCCTGACGTACCCCTTCCCCAAAAGTACCCCTCTGTTCTTCCACCAGAATCTCCCCTCTCCTCTTCCCCCAAGGGTCCCTCTGCTCCTCCTCCAAACTCCAAGTCCAACCAGGTACCGCTCCCTCCCTCCTCAGACTCTCCCCTCCCCCAGACTCAGACAGGGGGTCTTTCTGGTAGCCCTTCAGCCCACGCCCAGTGACCAGAATCCTCAGTCTCACTGCACAGAAGCAAGATCTTGTCCAGTGGCTCCTGCCGGGCTGACCCTGAACAAAGATTCCCTCCCTCCCCTCGGTGCAGATCACACGCTCCAACAAGCGTCAGAACCACGCTCTATCTATAGCCCCATTCCCCCCTTCCCCTGCAGTCTCACGCTCCCAGCAAAGCTGGGCCAGCTGACATCAGCCGCACCACCCTGAAATGTGTGCAGAGGGCCAGGTTCTGCTCTCAGTCCTGCCTCTGTGAGGCTCTGCTGCAGTCAGTGGAGTGACCACAGATTTACACCAGTCTTAACGAGGGGGAGGGCTTGGCCCAGGCGCTCTCCGTTTCTGAAAAATGCTGCACAGAAGCTTAAATAATTCATCGGCAGAGGATTTGCTTTGAAAAGTTCATCCCAGGACCCACACCTAGGATGAAAACCCTCAACCTCGTCTGCACGGAGCTCTGCTGGTGCACTTCCAACAGGGGAGCTCTAGTACAGGCGTGTGCAGTGGTGGGATGCAGCAGGCGACGTGGGCTAGGCTGGGCCTGCACTGAGCTTAGCTTGATGCTGGTGACCATGAGCTGCCAGATTCCCAGGATCGCTGCCGTCATGATCCCCAGAGGTCTGGCCCCCTGGAGGCCACCCCTGGCCCCAGGATGGGTGCGCCTTGCAGGGAGTCAGCAGATGCTCTGGACGCTCTTGACTCTCGATCTTTTCCCCGATTCTTCCAAGTCCTGGTTTATGAGGTCGGCCAGTCTCATTAGACCCACGACCATCTCTTTGGACTGGGAGAACGTTGAACCATCGGAGGAGGGGGGAGGGATCGGCAGCCCTTGGTTTATCCCCATAGACAGAGGCAGGCGACGCAAGCTTCCCCCTCCCACCACCTGCACGTGCACACACCCGCCACACATCCCAGCCACGCCTCGCAGGGCGTCCTCTAGGGGCGAGAGGGAAGTTCGTTCTTTGTGGCTTATTCAGTCCTTGGCATCTCTGCTGAGAATTAGCATCAGGCCTGGTGACTATCACTGGGTACTGGGCTGGAAACGAAAGGGACTAGCAAACAGCCCTACCTCGCATGGGAACAACTGCTGCGTCCCACAGATCTGCATGTAACTCAAACCACTGGCCTAGAGGCGAAAAGGCTCCACAACCCCTTTGCAACCTCTGTAGCCCCTTCCCAACCAAATCCTGCTAAGACTCTGCAGCCCCCTTCCCAAAACTCCTCTCCCCAGGGAGCCTTGCCGTGAGACTGGCACTCCTCCGCCTTGCCGCAGGCTCAGCTGATCCGGGATCTCTCCCCCACTAGGTAGGTCAAAAGCTCCGATTGTTCCACCAAAGGCTGGATACAAGGGCCTGTTTGTCAGGGATCACACTGCTGCTGTTCGGCTCGGAGCTAATTTTAGCAGCGTGAGTGTCTTTCACCCCGTCTGTTGCCAGGCCAGGCGGCTGCCCAGGTGGCCGGCGCAGGGGCAGGAGGTGAATGCGAAGGGGAGCACAGCCTTCACTCACCATGGGTGGCAGCTGGGGGACCTCAGGCAACAGGAGCGAGGGAGAAACACTCCCACATGCTCCCCTCCCCACCCCCACCCTGCTGTACCAGTCATCCTGCAGGAGGGGAGGGCAGGGGAGCAGGACCTGCTGTCACTCAGCATCATCTCAGGCTCTTTAATAAATGCTGTGCAGAGGCAATGTGGGGGGGGGCATGCGGGGTCACATGTCCCCCCAGAGTCGCTGCTTGGCTTGTACTGAGCATGCTCAGGAACATCTGTTGGAGCTGCTGCCCTCACTCGGCCCCCCCAGTCCGATGCGAGGTCCTGTCCTGCAGGGCCCTTAGGAAGGGGACTGAGGTTGGGGGGTGGACATGGGGATCTAACTCTCTGTCGCCCTCACTCTCACCAGCAGGCAGGAGAGCACGCTAAATGGCCCAATGGTCTGAGCCATTATGGCAACAGCCATATCCCGCAGACGCCCAGATAGCACCTTCCAGCTGCAGCCGATCTCCCACTGGCACCCATGGAGGCTGAAGGCAGCATGTGGCCCACAAGCTATGGGGGCCGTGCCGCCTTGCCCCGTTCCTTGTGCTCACCCGCAGCCGCAGCGTCTCTGTCTCCTCCTGGTACGCGGCCAGCTGCTTCTTCCACTGCTCCACGCTGGCGTTGGCTTCCTGCAGGGCAGCCACCAGCTTGTTGTTGTTGTCCTGGAGGGTGAAGAATTCAGCTTCCCACTGGACCTCGGGCACTGAGCTGCAGGAGGGGGCATGGAACCACAAGCCGGGAGTGAGAGGGAGGGAGAAAGGTCTCTGCTTCCCCGGGGGTGTCTAGGCCTCCCTTCCCCCACTGGGCAGCGTCCTGAAGAGCCAATTCCCAATGCCGACATGTCCTGATCAGAGCCAATCCTGCGGGACGGGACCTCAGGCCGCCATGACCCTGCCCCATCCTCCCCTTGCACCCTTCAGAACATCAAGGCGGGAAGGAGCCTGGTCGAGGCTGTCATGGAAGCCATGGCTTCGGCGCTGAGCAACGGTGAGTTCCAGCACACGACAAACACTGCAAGCTCCCGTCAGAAGCGCAGGTCTGTCCTCCACCCGCCACACCGGTGACAGGGACATGGCCTCCTCCTGGGCAAACTGCTGCCCTGCCTAACTGTCCTCTCCTCTGGACGTTCCGCCTGGGACGTGCCATTGAATGTGGCTGGGGAGAAGCCTCCCTCGCTAGCAATGGCTGGGTTAAACGACCTGTAAGTCTGGTCTTTCATCTCTATGGCAGGGCTTTGACCTACAGGACCCCCAGGCCCTCTCCCGATCCACGGGTCAGTGCTGACCACACACTCCCAGAGGGCAGAAGGGATGGGGCTGCTACGCCCGCCCAGGCTGCTTTCAGCCTGGCCTCAATCTCACTTCCCGAATCTAGACCCTTGTGCCAGGCCCGAGCCTGTGTCTGTTTCCTGCCATTGCCATGTTTGGCTTTGGGAATCAGGAGGGGGCAGGGGATGAGCGACCATCCACATGGCTCCATCCGAGCAGAGGAGCAG